CAAAGGAGGAGACTGAGCCTGAGGCTGTGGCTTTGGTCAAGGCCGTGTCTCCTCCTCCTCTTGATTTCTAACTTAATTCCATGTGGTTAGAGACTATACTTAACATGATTTCAGTCCTTTGAAACTTCTAGAGATTTTTTTAATTGCCCAGCTTACAATTTTTCTTCTGTAATGTGCTTTTGTTTGGTAGAACATTCTATAAATGTCAGTTAGATAAACTTGATTGAAGGTTGTTCATGCCTTCTGTATCCTTCCTGCTTTTGTGCTTATTCTATCCATTATCGAGAGAGGGGTATTAAAATCTCTGGCTGTAATTGCAGATTTATCTATTTATCCTTGAAGTTCTCCCAGTTTTTGCTGTGAAATAAAATACATGAATATTTTGAAGCAGTGTTTTTTAGGTGCACACAGTACATTTAGGATTATTATATCTTCTTGATTAATTGATCCTTTTATCTTGGTTTAATGTCCTTTGTTATCCCTGACAATATTCCTTGTTCCGAAGTCTGCATTTTTTATGTTAATGTAGCCACTCCTTATTTTTATTATTAATATGTATGTTGTAGACAGCATATAATTAAGTGTTGCTATTTAACCAGTCTGTCAATCTCTACATTCTAATTAGAGTGATTAGACCATTTACTTTTAATATAAATGTTGATTTGGTTGGTTTGATTTAAATCTACCCATCTTGCTACGTTTTTTCTATTTGCTTTTCTTTTTTTTCTTTTCTTTCTATTTTTAGAGAGGGAGAGAGAGGGGGAGGAAGGGTAGAAGGAGAGGGAGAGAGAAAGTCTCAAGCAGGCCCCTCACCCAGCACGGAGCCTGACTCCGGGCTTTACCCCACAACCCTGAGATCATGACCTGAGCTGAAATCAGGAGTCAGCTCAACTGACTGAGCAACCCAGGCGCCCCTCTGTTTGCTTTTCTATTTGTCCTAGCTAATCTTTTCTCTCTTTTCTTGCCTTATTTTTGATGAATTGAGTATTTTTTAAGCATTCCACTTTATCTCCGTTTTTGGCTTATTAATGATACCTCTCTCTTTTTTTAGTTGGTTGCTTCAGGGTTTACAGTGTGCAATTTTAACTTATCATAGTCTACCTTCCAATGTTATTCCATACTATGAATAATATATAAATCTTAGAATAGTTCATTTCTTTCTCCTCTCTTTTATGCTTTTGTTGCCATACATGTATCAACTTTATATTTTACTTATAAGCCCCGCTACTGTTATTATTTTTGTTTTGAATAGTCATGTATTTTTTTCATTATTATTTAATTGTGGTAAAGCACACATAACATAACACTTAACATTTTTTTTTTTTTTAAAGATTTTATTTATTTGACAGAGAGAGACACAACGAGAGAGGGAACACAAGCAGGGGGAGTGGGAGAGGGAGAAGCAGGCTTCCCGCTGAGCAGGGAGCCCGATGCAAGGCTTGATCCCAGGACCCCGGAATCATGACCTGAGCTGAAGGCAGACGCTTAACGACTGAGCCACCCAGGTGCCCCAACACTTAACATTTTAAAAAAAATTTTAAGTAGGCTTCACACCCAATGTGGGGCTTGAACTCATGACCCTGAGATCAAGAGTTACATGTTCTACCAACTGAGCCAGTCAGGCATCCCCCATCTTAACCATTTTTAATTGTACACTTGGGTGGCATTCAGGACATTCACTTTATTGTGTTACCATCACCACCGTCCATCCACAGAACTCTTTTCATTTTGCAAAATTGAAACTCTACCTATTAAAGAGCCCCCCATTCTCCCCTTCCAGCCCCTGGCAACCAGCGTTTCACTTTCTGTCTCTCTGAATTTGACTACTCTCAGTACCTTTTTTTTTTTTTTTAAGATTTTATTTATTTGACAGAGAGAGACACAGTGAGAGAGGGAACACAAGCAGGGGGAGTGGGAGAGGGAGAAGCAGGCTTCCCGCAGAGCAGGGAGCCTGATGTGGGGCTCGATCCCAGAACCCTGGGATCATGACCCGAGCTGAAGGCAGACACTTAATGACTGAGCCACCCAGGCGCCCCTCAATACCTCTTATAAGCAGAATCATACAGTATTTGTCACTGACTTATTTCACTTAGCATAATGTGCTCAAGATTCATCCATGTTAATTTTTTGTGGAATCATCATCCTGTTTTCCTTAGAGGCTGCACCAGTTTACATTTCCACCAACAATGCACGGGGTTCCAATTTCTCTATCAGTCACATTTTAAAGCAATAAAAAATAAGAAAAAAGTTCTTATATTCACTCACATACTTACCATTTGCTCTTCTTTCTTGTAGATCCCTGTTTCCACATGATATCATTTTCTTTCTGCCTGAAGAATTTCCTTTATCATTTCTTGCAGTGACAAATTCTCTTAGTTCATATTTGTTTTAGTTTTTATTTTGCCTTTATTTTTGAAGGCTTTTCCTTTTGGATATATAATTCTATATTGGTAGCCTTTTCTCGTTTAATACTTTAAATGCTTTGTCCCATTGTTCTCTGGCTTATTCTTTTTTATTCTCTATAATGTTTCTTTTTCCTCTGATGGCTTTTAAGATTTTTTTTTCCAGTGACTGGATGATAGTATATCTTGGTGTGGTTTTCTTTTCTTTTCTTTTTTTTTTTAAAGATTTTATTTATTTATCTGAGAGAGAGAGAATGAGAGACAGAGAGCATGAGAGGGAGGAGGGTTAGAGGGAGAAGCAGACTCCCTGCTGAGCAGGGAGCCCAATGCGGGACTCGATCCTGGGACTCCAGGATCATGACCTGAGCCAAAGGCTGTCGCTTAACCAACTGAGCCACCCAGGCGCCCCTTGGTGTGGTTTTCTTTGTGTTTATCCTGCTTGGGATTTGTTGAGTTTCTTGGATTTATGGGCTTATAGTTTTCATGAAATTCAGAAAATTTTCAGCCATTATGTCTTAAAATATTTTTTCTATTACATTCTCTTCTCTATTTCTAGGACTCAAACTAGATATATATATTAGACCACTTGATATTGTTTACAGTCACTGAAACTGTTTCTTTTTTTTTCCCCCAATTTTTTTTCTCTATTCTTCAGTTTGGATAGTTTCTGTTGCTTTGTCTTCAAGTCACTGATCTTTTCTTTGCAGTGTCTAAATGCTTTTACTCATATCTGGATAGTTTTTTTTTTTATTTTGAAATTGTGTTTTTCATCTCGAAGTTGCATTTAGTTCTTCATATATATATATAAAATCTCTTCTCTTTCCTTCACAGTGTTCATTTTTTTCTTTAAACCTTTGAACATGTTGGGCATATTTAAGAAGACTTTTAACGTCCTTTGCTAGTTTTGTCAATTCTGTCATTTCTTTCTATTGAATGATTTCTTTCTTGGTTATTGGTCACATTTCCCTGCTCTTTTGCATCTTTAGTGACTTTTTTTTAACGATTTTATTTTTTTTTTTAAGATTTTATTTATTTGAGAGAGAGTGAGAGAGCCAGAGAGAGCACAAGTGAAGGGGTGAGGCAGAGGCAGAAGCAGACTCCCCACTAAGGAGGGAGCCTGACTCAGGGCTCAATCCCAGGACCCTGGGATCATGACCTGAGCCGAAGGCAGACGCTTAACTGACTGAGCCACCCAGGAGCCCCTATTTATTTATTTTAGAGAGAGCGGGAGAGAGTGCCCTTGAGGGGGGAGGAGAGAGAAGATCCCAAGTAGACTCTGTGCTGAGGGTGGAGCTCAACTTAGGGCTTAGTCTCACGACTCCAAGATCATGACCCGAGGCAAAGCCAAGAGTCGGATGCCCAACTGACTGAGCCACCCAGGCACCCACATGTTTAGAGACTTTTGATGGGATACTGAACAAAGTGAATGTTGTAGATATGAGCGTTTTTGAGTGTGTTTGTCTTATTTTTTCTGTTAGCAATTAAGTTACTTGTTTATCAGCTTGATCCTTTTAACCTTTTTTTTTATATAGGTCTAAAATTAAAGTGGCCTTTACTGCAAGGCTAATTTAGCTGCTAAGGCCTTACTCTATTGGTATCTCTACCAAAAGCTGTGATCTCTGGTTGGTTGAAATGCAAATATCTCCCAACTGTGTGTGAAATTTTAGAATTTCTCATTTTTCAGTTCCCTGGTCATTCTTTGCCCAGTCTTTTGGAGTTAAACTTTACTCATGCTTTTCTTAGTATTCAACAAAATCTCAAGGGGAGTCCCATTCAGATTTATAGAACTCTTTCTACATAGTTCCCTCCTCTCTAGAATTTAGCACCTTGACTTCCAGCCACTTCAGTCTCTCTTAAATTCTGTCTCTGTTTTATAATTTAAGCAAAACCACCATGTTGTACTTTGGATTTCCTTCCCTGCATTTGGTCTCAAATGTGCCTTCAGACAGAAAGCTGGGACAGTTATACATTTAGGTTTATAATCTATTTCAAATTATTTTTTTTTAAGATTTTATTTATTTATTTGACACAGAGAGGGAGAGAGCAAGCACAAGCAGGGAGAACGGTAGACAGGGGAGAAACAGGCTCCCCGCTGAGCAAGGATCCCGATGTGGGGCTCAATCGACCTGAGCCGAAGGCAGACGCTTAACTGACTGAGCCACCCAGGCACCCTTCTATTTCAAATTAATATTTGTATATGGTATGAGGTTGATGTCAAGGTTCATTTTTTTCTATATAGATACCTATTTGTTTCAGTACCATTTGGTGAAAAGACTCTCCTTTCCCCATCAAATCATGTTGGCACCTTTATTGCCATATAAATATATGTGTGTCCATTTTTGGACTATATTTCTTTCCATTGATCGTTGTCTGTTTTCATACTAATACTATAATGTGGCTCTTGACAAGAATTTATGAAAGATCTAATGAGTGGTTCTGACATGAAATAAATACTTCATTTGACTTTATAATGTTTTGAAAAATAGATTTTGAGTTTGAATTTGAAATACAGTGTTTCCACCAACTTGAATATAATGTTATGCTATGTCATTTAATAATTGAATGAAGAGATATATTTTAAACATACTTGTCTTACAGAGACCTTTTAATAAAAGTGAAATTTGGAGAAAGCATTGAGGACTTACAGACCTGCCGACTCTTAATTAAACAGTACATCCCGACAGGACTTTTTGTGGATCCATATGAGTTGGCTTCATTACGAGAGAGAAACATAACAGAGGTACAACTATTAGAGAATTTTTTTGAGAGAGAGAAATTATTTTAGGGATGCTATAATTTGGATTAGGAAAAAATAATAGACAAGACAACATTGTATTTTTTATTCATTTTGTTAAAGTGTGTAAAGTAACTTTTTTTTTAGGTAGGATGGAAGTATTCTTTAAAAAGTGAGTGATATGTGTCAAACTTGTCAGTAATAAGCCAACTAAACTGAGCTAGTTAAATGCTTTTTGCTAGAATGGTTCTTAGTTTCATGACTAAGAAAATTATATGTCTTTGAGAAGATTAATGATTAATACTGCTTCAGCAGCATTTAACAGTATTGTTTGAGTGACATATATATGAACACCTGTATAATTTGGATGTGGGAGGAAAGGAAGCTGATACTTATTGGCTATCTGTATGTCAGACATCTTCTTCTTTTTTCTTTCTTTCTTTTTTTTTAAGGAAGCAAGGTAAAATTAAGCATTAGAGAAAGATTATGTACCATACCCTTTGCATAGATCAATCTTTATAACAACCCTAGTAGTAGTATTTCTCCATTTTATACATAAGGAAACTGAGGCACAAAAAGGCCAGGTAACTTATCCAGGATCACACAGGTAAATGGAAGAGCCAAGAGATAAATCCAGGGCTGTCTAATTACAAAGTTGTTGCTCTTTCCAGAAATGAATTTTATTCCTTAGTTAACGGGGTCTCTGACTTTTGGTAAAAATCACTTGGGGCCACTTTTTGTGCAGATTATGTCTTCCTGGGAAAGCTTAATTCAGTAGGTCTAGATTGGACCCCAAAGTCTGTTTTAACTCAGATGATTCCTATTAAGAAATTTTGGGAAGCACCATCTTTATTCTTAAGATTATAATCTATATGTGAATATAAAAGAGGCAAAATATACTAGGAGTCATTTATGATGACAATTTATTTCTAATTGTGGTTTAGGCCAATTTCTTCACCTGTTTTAATTACTTATTTAAATTTTTTTGAATAGGTAATTATATTCTCATGGTTCAAAATTCAAAAGGTATAAAAAGGTGTACAATGATGAGCTTCCACCTATCTCAACCCCCATTCACCAAGTTTCTTCCTGTGTTCTGAGTTTTTTTTGTACATATATAGCAGTTTAGATAAACATGTTCACATATATGGCAGTCTCAGTAAATGTATACATGTGGAAATACCTCATTGCTTTTTTCCTCCTTTCTTTCCTTCACTGAGTCATGAATTCTGAATGAGGCTTTTAAAATTTTAAATAATAGGTTTCACATTTAAATGTGGTTCTTGGCTTGTAGTGACATGGATTGGAATCATATTTAAACCTACTTAATAAAATTGCCTACCATGTTTTAAGAAAATGGAATTTTTTTGCATAGGAGTACCCAAAAAGAGATCACATGCCCCCCTCTTGGGATAAGATTGGGTATGTGCAGATTAATGGTAATAAGAAGACTGGGCAGGCAAAGGATGCCACTCTGGATTGATTGACAAACTTCTCTTTATCTTAATTTTCTGTTTCCTAATTTTCTAATCCCTAATTATAAGCATTTTAAGTGAATTTACTTTTTCATTTCAAATAGATGTCTCATTTGTGACACATAGATAATTAGAAGTTGGTATCCTGATATATGAGATGCTATTTCTTTCTGCCTAGCTGTTGAGACTGTGGCCCGATTCTTTGTGCAGAGAAACTTTGTCTCAAGAAGTGGTATTAAATGATGAATATAACTGGATAGAAGGAAATTTTTATGTAGGGAATGATTGATACTTATGTATTTAGATTGAGATCTTGACTATTCCATGAGATAAAATTTGTGACTGCAGCAAATAGAACAATGGGTTCAAATTAAATGAGTGATGGTGGCAATAAAATGTTTTGTAAGGAGTTTGTGATGGTTTGTGAGCAATTTGAAAATAAAGACAAGTCTTAAACAGAGTCACCATGAATAAGGCACTTCAAATGAATCTCACTTCATTTTTAGGTAGGGCTATTTGATATATTTAATAAAAATATCTCACATTCTTTGAAAAGAGCATAATATTAGATTGAAGCATATGAAATTGCTGTTCTATCAGTCAAAATGGAAATGCTGTGTTTTTGAAATCATAAGTTTTACTCAATCAAAATATGTAGTATTAGGACTTATGCCCTGACCAAGTTGGAGGACAGAGATCAGATTTATTCTCCCACTTGAAACAACCAAGTAATAGACAAATTATATGAAATAATGGAAAAGATCATTGAATATCAGGCAGTGAGGGCAGTGATATCTGAAATAAATGGAAAGTATATAAGGTGAGCTCTAGGACTGTCCCAGCTTATTGCCTTGGAGAGTTTTCAGGCTGTAGTATAGGGAGCAAGAACCCAAGCAGAGCCTAGTGGACTTCTTGAGTTGATGAGATGAAGGTGAAATTCTGGGAAGACCAAGGTCACCAGAATTCACAAGGCAGTGTAGCAGAGAGAAGAGAATTGCAGAGATAACTCCAGAGATCCATAAAAGGTTCCCCTCAAGTACATAGTTGAGTATTGATTAGTGCATGTATGTGAGGAAACTACTTGCTGCTGGGAAAAGAACCATATGAAAAAATTAGAGGTTACAGTGTCAGACACTCACAAAGGTCAGTAGTAGTGTCTGTTCCCAGCAACCATGCTAGGAAAAGCCTCATAATTCATTGGGCATTAGGTAGAGTAAACAGAAGAACTTTTACTCAGTAGTGGGGGATATTTAGCCCTAGCCTGAACATAATGGCATTCCTGTTTAACAAATCTTAAAAGCACGACCTTTAAAAAGTCAAACTGTAAGTAACTTTACTGCATATAAGCAAAGCTCAAGAATACTTATAGGAATACAGAAATATCCAGCATCCAACAATATCAAAATCACAATGTCTTGATTTTAATAAAAAATCAGATGCAAGGATGGGAGAAAATATAGCCTGTAATGAGATAAATAAATCAATCAAAACCAATCCAGAACTGACCCAGATGTTAGCATTGGGCTATGAAAACAGTTATCATAACTGTATTCCATATGTTCAAAAAACTAAGTATAGATGTGGAAGATATATAAGAGGGCAACATTAAACTTGTGAAGATTAAGACTACAGTGTATGAGATAGAAAATATTCTGGATAAAATTAATGGCATTTTAAACATTGCAGAAGAAAAGATTAATGGACTTGAAGACATAGTAATAGAAGCTACCTAAAACAGATTAAAAAAAAAAAAAAGAAACATAAAAAGTGAATAGAGTAATAGTGAGTTGTGGGACAATTTCTTTTTTTTTTTTTTAAATATTTATTTATTTGAGAGAGAGAATGAGAGAGAGAGAGCATGAGAGGGGGGAGGGTCAGAGGGAGAAGCAGACTCCCTGCCGAGCAGGGAGCCCGATGTGGGACTCGATCCAGGGACCCCAGGATCATGACCTGAGCCGAAGGCAGTCGCTTAACCAACTGAGCCACCGAGGCGCCCCGTTGTGGGACAATTTCAAGTGGCCTACTATACCTGTGATTGGACTATCTTGAAGAGATATCTCTACCTCCATGTTCCTTGCAGCATTATTCACAGTAGAAAAGCTATGGAAACAGCCTAAGTGTCCATCAACAGATGAGTGAATAAAGAAAATATGTATGGAAATATATACAGTGGAATGCTATTCACCTAAAAAAAAAGAAGAAAATCCTGCCATTTGCTACAAGCTAAGTGAAATAAGTCAGACAGAGAAAGACAAATACTGTATGATCTCATTTATATTTGGAATCTAAAAAAAAACTGAACTCAGAAACAGAGGGTAGTTTGGTGGTTGCCTGAAGCAAGAGTATGGAAGAAACAGGTGAAGGTGGTCAAAGAGTACAGACATCCAGTTATAAGATGAGTAAATTCTGGGGGTCTAGTGTATAGCATGGTGACTATAGTTAACAATAGTGTATTGTATATTTGAAAGTTGTTAAAAGAGTATACTTTAAAAGTACTCATCGGGGGTGCCTGGCTGGCTCAGTAGAGCATATGACTCTTAATTTCAGGGTCATGAGTTTGAGCCCCATGTTGGGTGTAGAGATTACTTTAAAAAGTAGTAAAATAAAAGTTTTCATTGTACACACGCACACACACATGAGAAGGTAACTGTGTGTTGATGGTTGTGTTAACCTTACTGTGGCAATCATTTTGCATTATAAACGTATTTCAGATGATTATGTTGTATGCCTTAGACCTATACAATGTTATATGTCAATTATAGCTCAATAAAGTTCAGTGTGGGGGGTGGGGTGGGGAAGGTGTGATTAGAATCTCCAAAGAGAGAAGAGAGAAATGGAGATGGAAAAAAATATTTGAAGAAATAATGGCTGACAAATTTCCAAATTTGATGAAAACTATAAATCCACATATCTAAGATGCTCAAGTACCAGAAACATGAAGAAAACTATACCAAGGTACATGATACTCAAATTGTTTAAAACAATGAGAATGAGAGGTGCTTCGGTGGGTCAGTCAGTTAAGTGTCTGACTTTGGCTCAGGTCATGATCTCAGGGTCTTGGGATCGAGCCCCATGTTGGGCTCCATGCTCAGTGGGGAGTCTGCTTCTCCCTTTCCGCCTGCCCCTCTCCCACCTTGTGCTTTCTCTCTCTTTTTCTCTCTCAAATGAATAAAATCTTAAAAAAAAATAAAACAATGAGAATAAGAAAAAGATTAAGTTTTTATTTAAATTCCAGTTAGTTAACATACAGTGTAATATTAGTTTCAGGTGTACAAAATGGTGATTCAACACTTCCATATATCACCCAGTGCTCATCATAACAAGTGCACTCCTTAATCCCCATCACGTGTTTAACACATCCCCCCACCTTCCTCCTTTCTGGTAGCCATTAGTTTGTTCTCTGTAGTTAAGAATCTGTTTCTTGGTTTGCCTCTCTCTCTTTTTTTCTCTTTGTTCATTTGTTTTCTTTCTTAAATTCCACGTATGAGTGAAATCATATGGCATTTGTCTTTCT